TACACACGCTTGGTAGGTGTTTTTAAATCCCTGCTATGCCATGTAAGTGCCCTAATCATTGAGCTAGTGACTATTCTGTGACAAGTATTTTTCATCTCCCCATCTGAAGCGGTTCCACTTTGTATGAATAAACAGGTAGTCACTGGATGAGGCAGAGAGCGGAGTGACTCTTCTACTAGTCAGGGCACTCACTTGGGCTGCAGGAACATCACGTTCAAGGACCCTGCTCCATATGTCCGACTTGGGCACCTTAAGCAGTAGTTGGGCACTTATATCCATTTAAGATGGTAGCCCCAATTCAATACAATAATTATTTATCACGCATGCCCAGAACACCACCACTTATACCTGTACAGCAACATGGGCCCATGCAGAACGCAGAAGGTCAAGTGGTTAATTGCAGGATTCGTACTAGTGGGTCATTGTTTATTGGTTTCCCGTGAAACACGAGTAAGTGTGTATTGTTAACAGTGACTCATGTATGACTAGGCTACATACTGTAAGTGGGAAGGCATATGTTGTTTACAAGCTGTGTAGCCTAGGTTTAGCTCACAAGCTTCCAGTGCTTTTGGGGGCAAGTGAGCAGGAGCCCTTGAAATAGGGTGTCTAATATTCCCTGTGTATGAATGCTTTCTTTAGAAGGAAAACTCCTTCTATCCAAGCACCAATTACATTTGCCAAACCGTGCGAGGCTGGGGTGACAAAGAAGTGGTCTGAACTAGCATTCATCCTTGAGATTTCTATTCAGCCAGGCACTTAAGCATGTGCTTAACTGAAACTTTCTACTTTAAGTGGCCTTTCTTAGACAGCAAACCCCACATTTAAGTACTCCATTTCCAGGAATCCCAGGCCACTAAGAGTAACAGTACTTTGTTACAGTCCGCCAGCATGCAACAGGGATCTCAGAGTGCTGTAAGAGCATTAGTGAACTGAAGCCCCAAAAGGGGAGAGAGATTATTCCTGTTTCACAGGGGAGGAAACTGAGGTAGAATGAGGTGGCCCCAACATTTCTTATTGTGCTGGAAAAATAAGATGATAACTTGGTATAGAAGCAGATTTGGCATCAGAAGTCAAGTGTTTTATTTCCAGGTAGGCTGTTTCAATTCAAGTACTTGCATCCATATTTAGACACCTAAAACACAGTGTGATTTTCAGCGATGCTTATCTTCATCAGCTTCCACTGACTTCAGCCGCAGTTGTGGGTGCTCAGTACCTCTAATTCTGAGACTTACTGGCACACTCAGGTGCCTAATTTAGGTCACCACTAAAGTGTGAAAAATTTGGGCTCCCTGATTTGTGAAGTCATACAGGAAATCTGCATTAAAACAAGAAATAAAACACCTCTGCCTTACAGACTCCCAGCAATAGACATTAACTGCAGGCGCTATCTCCTCCTTCCAGTTTTGTGTTCAATATTATTTTCCATGAATTCATATGTCTTTCACTATGGAAGGGAAGGTCAAGTCAGCTGGCAGATAACTTTCCTTGGCCATCTCTGGTTCTATAATAATTCATATCCATTTAGACCCACACTTGTTAGGAACCACAATGTAACCTCTTAAAGCTGCTTTGCTCTACATGATGCAGTATATCCCCTGCTCTTCACACTGAATTAGTAATTGTTGGAGGTAACTTTTAGTGGATGACACAGTATAAAGATTAAATAACCTTTTGATAACATGATCCTTTTCACTAGGCATTTTCCTTAGGGGTTGATGGTGCTAAAGCAGCCTCTGAGAAGTATGCAGACTCATTTAAAATCATTTTATAAATAATCAAGTTTTTAAAAATCCCATTTTCTGTGGGAGGAAATAAAATTTCAGACTTTCCAATAAATAATACCAGGCTTGACTTGGAGACACTCTCCACCCTCCATGATTTCTATGGCTTTGCAGGAGATTTTGGTTTTACATATGCTGTTCATAGCTTTTATCTTTATTTAGCTCTATATTCATGGTAGCATCTCTAGGGAGTGTTGGCCCAACTGAAGACCCTTTAACGACTTCCAAATACTAAATCATAGCTATCAAGAATTATGGGAAAATATGGTTTCTTAGAAGATAACTGAAGCTGTCTTTATCTCCCAGTAACAGGATTCACCAAGTATTATAGCAGCTTCTTCGCACCACTATAGTTAAGCTTGTTTCAGCATTTTCATTATAAACCCCTATTTTCACAGGTTTATTTCTCAGCAGAAAAAAAAAATCACTCCTGAATAAAACCTGGCACATAAGCACTCAGTGAGGGAGTGAAGATTTTTTTTCCTTTATAGCTGCCTAAAAAGGAAATGGGATTGGTCATCTTCAAATTAAGTAAAAATAGAAGTTTATCTTTCTGGAATATTTTTTGAATTTTGTGCACGCAAGACAAACGCTAGTTCAGCTGAAAAAGCAAAATCTGCTTAGCAATCAGGGCAATCAAGCCCTAAAAGGTTTTTCTGGTGCATTTGAGAGAGAAACAGAATTTCTGATGTTGCAGCAGCTCCCATTCAGAAGGATTGGGAAAGGCACCATAATGCTTGACAGACTCAACACTGCTCGCCATTTCTGTCAACCTTGTAAGTGTTACAGTCATGGCTTGCACTGCAGACCGAGGGCAAGATTGAGATTTGTAATTCATTCAGAGCCTGATCCTTCTGCGGGTAACAGCAAAGCCCCCACTGACTTCAAGGAAGCTTTTATTTTCCACACCTCTGCGTTCCATCCCATAGTGATCTCCTCCAGCCCCTCGTGTACAACTGTCCATAGGAGTAAATCTACAAAGCCAGAAGGAGCTCATTATACTGTAGTGTCCTAACCATGCTATCAACCAGTCAGTTTTTCTCTGAAGAAGGGACCGAACCATGTTATAGCACTGTGTTAAAACCCTGAATGAGTTAAGGACAACAGGTTTAAACACGGCCACTGATCTTGCACGCATCAGTCTTGGAGTGTCTGAACTGACACGCTTTTGGTCCGATTTTCAAAGGCGCTGAGCCCGCAATGAACTTGACGTGCATGGGCTGGGCATCCCAAATTCGAAGGGCTTCCAAATTGGTGGTTGCTGGCTGGCAGTGTGGCTTTGCACAATCTAGTCAAAGATGTTTTAATCTTGCATGAGCATGCAAGACCCAGCCATATCATAATGTAGTTTGGCACATTGCAAAGTTCTAACACAACTTCTCTGACGTGCCAGACTTGCTGCTGTACATGGGGCTAATTAAACAACAAATTAAGCTGCGGCTGCATTTTTTCTCAAGGCATCTCTCAAGCGGGAGATTGGTATGCAGTGGGCCCTTAAAAAAAAGAAAATAATTTTTTTTTTTTTTTACAGGTTTGAAGTCTGAAATGATTTTCACTTCACAAGACAGAGTTTGGTGATATTAGCCAAGAACCAAGAAAGAAGAGTTTGGGCAATGACACTCGAACAAAGCCATCAGCCTGCTGCGTGCAGCATGGGGAGAGGTCCTCATGGGGAAAGGTATTTCATTCCAAGCACTAAAGAGGTAGGTTGGATGCGCTACAAGGTGCGTTTACACATTAGGAAAGGAACCGGAGCAGGGTCCTCTGGCACCACGCAGCCTTCACAGCGAACGCCAGGCTGTTTATGGCCCGGTTGTGCAGGCACCGAGAGGCCTGAGTTGTGCTGCAGTGGAGAGGAGCCGTGGCAGTGGGGAAAAGCAAGCCACGCTGTTATGCAGCCAGGCTACGGGGTCAGCAGATCCTTGCAAAGAAAACTGTCCTAGAGCAGACGGTGCCTTGTCTGAGCACCTCGGCTTTTGCAGTAGAGGGAGTTTGGCCTTCTGAAGGGGGTGGATTATTGGGGGCAACGTGCAGGGAGACCCCTGCCCCCAGGAGAAGCCACAAGGAAGGGGACATGACTGCGATCCCCTGGCCGTGGAAGGGCCTCACTGGGGTTGGGGTGAGGGGGGTCTGCACAGGTGGCTGGGGCGGGAGCACAGCGCAGAGCCTGGGAAGGGCTCTCCGGGGGCAAGTCCTGCCACACGTTCCCACGGGATGAGCTGCTGCTGGTCCCCAACC